GTGCATGGACCACATCATCTTGGGGTCATCCTCGATGTTCCTGGCCCCGATGTGGTGGCCCAGCTGTTTGCGATACCCTTCCTTGTACTTGTACTGTAGGAAAAAACAATATGCCCTGAGTATTATTTTAGGTTTCTTTACAATCCTAGTAATCCCTGTGGTGCCACCTCCAACCAATTTATCAGATAAAACCACAGAGAGTTTACAGTGTGAAAGTGTTCAGCTGATGACCTACAGTGTGCAGTGTACAGCTAGAAAATAATCCATGCATTATCCTCGTGATAAAACTCACAGTTCCCAAGACTCTCCCTGGCCTATATATTAAGAGCTACTGGTCTGTAAATGAGAGGAAGAAAAGTCTTTAAATCATGAAAGCTATATGAAATACCTGAAGTTCAATAAATACCCCCTACATAAAGAATCATTTACTGATCTTCAAGCACAATGGCCAAATCAACTCTTACTCAAACTACTGAGGCAATAAAATGTAACTACAGAGAGAATTACTGGTAAGATTTAATAAATACAGCAAACCCATACAGGAAAGCAATTTTGTATTAATACCTAAGAGCAACAAAAAATTATGGTTTTTTACGCAGCTTTAATTTTTAAAGGAAAACTTGGTTTGGGTTTTCTTTCCTCATGCACAGCTCAGCTGCGTAGCTGCAGAGTCAGGGCCATGCAGATGGGCAGTGCTGAGGGCAGCCCAACACCTCAGAACTTCAGGCTGTTGCATGAGGACATGCACTCACAAGCCCAAGAGGGACCCTGCTTTGGGCTCTGGCCACCACCCACCTCCCATGGCTACTCCTCCACATCACCTAGACCTTCCTGTGGGACACATATTGAGAAAGTAAGAAAATTACAGCCTGGAAAATATTCCAGGCTGGAGCGTCTCAGCTCTGTTCCCAGCACATAAGCTGGTCCAGCTCAAGGCTAGGGAGAATTTCTCCCAGGGTGATAATTTGGTCAAAATAAAAAGGAATTAATACCAAAGATAGAAGCCCTGTTGTGGTGTGTGCCCAGTTCCTGGCAATGGGGTGTCTTCTCTCTGAACCAATCTCCTTTTCTCTACTCTGGGAGTTGCAGTCCTGCTATAAACCCAAGTGTGTTTGTGAATAAACTTGGCTCTTTCTTCCTGTCATGACAGACCACCATGTAGCTGTGCATCTTATTTCTGCTGCACTTAAAGGGTTAAAACCCCTTTCCACAGCTACACCTTCCCTTGCAACAGTGCACACCCATAACTGCAGGGACAGCTGCAGGTAGACAGTTTGGAACAAAACCTTTGCTGGACAACTGAATGGCAGTGATAGGTAATGGATTTGTTGTCTCCATTTGGCTCAGTTGCAAACCCTGGGCTCAACTACCAGCACGTGGCACCTGTGTGACAGCCTGTGCCACGGGGGCTGCTGTGCACTCACATCACTGGCGATGTCCCGGGAAGCTTTGGCAGCCGTGATGGGAATGGCATCTGCCCGCATGTCGTAGCCCTTCTTCTTCTCCTCCTCCATCGCCTGCTTGTACAGTTTCTGAAACAAACACCACCAGCCCTCAGACATCACTGCTGCCTGGGACACGGCAGCACCCAGGGATGGACACTGCACCCTCAACAACAAGCACCCACCTCGCTGAAGTTCACTTTGTTCTGCTGGGCCAGCAGGATCCCAGGGGTGTCTGGCATGATGTGAACGCTGGTTTTGTCCTTCTCCCACGCTGAGATGTACGAGCGCTGGAAAACGAGGAGCACAGAGGGAGGTGAGACCCCACAGGCTCAGGAAAAAAACCTCAACAAGAAGATTGGCTCCATAAGCCAAAGCAAGGGGGCTCTACTTTGCACTGACCCTGAAACTTCTGCTCGTTCCCCAAAACTTTCTAATGCTTCACCCTTTTCCACATTGCACCCTGTTACTGCTCCAAGCACACAAAAGATTGTCTGATCTCAAACAAGGAAGACAAATCCCCGAGGCAAGAGAAGCCAATATTCCCCTTGCACAACTCGGCCATGGAAGGACCAACACCTTGACAAAGGAAGGTGTCTGTTTTCTTTAGGATGCAAAGACAAGGAAATCTCACTTGGTCCATAATTTTGGAGTTGTGCTTTGCCAGCATCATGGGCATGGAGTCAGGAAGGCTCGTGAATTTGATGGTGTCTGGGTGCTGCCGGTACTTCTTGTCACTCAGGATCTCGCTCGCCCTCTTGTTCTTCTCAACATCCAATGACCCAATTGGGGACCAGCCAATGCCCCTCAGCCACTGCAGGTCAGACTTGTACACGTTCTGGAAGGACAGGAAAGGAAAACATCAGCTCAGCAACCTCCTCACTCCCAGCGACCTCATCTCCTACCAATGGATGTTCTCCTGCATGGAGCATGTTCCATTGGGTCAACCTTCCAGCCACCCATTCAGTGGTTGTACCTATCCCCTAATGCTCTCCATAACATTCTCCACTGCCCTCACAGTTTGTCTTTTCCAACTGCTGGTTCTCCATTAAAAAAAACTCGATTCCATTGCCCCTTCCCTGCCACACAGACCCTTCCTTCAAAACTAGAACAGAACACAGGACAGACAACCCAAGGCTGTCACACAGTGAGTAAAGAAGAACTCACATCACTCTGCAGGTCGTACACTGTCTTGGCATGGACAACGTCGCTCTGGTCGGGCAGGCAGGTCCAGCGGTGCAGAGGGTGCCGGTAATCGACGTCACTGACCAGCTCCTGGCACTTCTTGGCCAACACAATTCCCAGCATGTCCACAGGGCTGCTGAACCTGGTCTTGGACTTCTCAAAGTCCTTCTTGTACTCTCTGTCACTCTGGATTTTGGCCACGTGCATGGACCACATCATCTTGGGGTCGTCCTCGATGTTCCTGGCCCCGATGTGGTGGCCCAGCTGTTTTCTGTATGCTGTTTTGTATTTGTACTAATTAAACAGAGAAAAAAAAATTACCACTTCTTTCCAAGCTGCCATTTCAGTTTCTGTTAATAGGGTAATTAATAATTTTGTATCTAACATATTTTAATTTGCTTGTGTTTCTTTCCAAGACTTTTACCATTTGTTATAATGTCAGGGAGATATTACAGGATTTCTCATAGCTCTATACTGTAATCTTTAAATTCTTGTATCTAATTTAGTTAACTTTACACCATTAAAAATTACACAACCTTTAAGGTGGGGAACAATAGAACAGTATTAAAATTTTACATAGCTCCTCCTGTTAAATACAAATCATTTTTACTCAAGTTTATGTGTCCCCTCTGTGCCCCACTCTGATTTTCCCTCTGCCAGACCCACCTCGCTGGCTATGTCTCTGGATGCCTTGGCTGCCTGCAGGGGGATGGCATCAGGAGGGAGGTCATAGCCTTTCTTCTTCAGCTCTTCATATCCCACCTTGTAACGTTTCTGTTGGAGAAGGATTCAAAGGAATTAATGCAGATAAAAATCTCCAGAGAGTTTTCCAATGCTACAACTTTTCACCTCTGACTATTGAAAAGAAAGCATGAGTTTCCAAACACAATTAATTAAATTAAACTCCATACCTTGCTATTAATGATATGCATCTTGTAACCTTGGATAGAAACTATTTTAAAATTACAATTTAAATGTCTTCTGATTATTTCATTGAAGATCAAAATTTCTTTTAGCAAGTATATTAATCTGAATTTTTGCCAGAGCTTTCTGTAGAGGTAATACAACCCTGTAGTTCTCTAAACCCAGTTTCAAATGCAAACTTACATCACTTGTGTTAATCAAGTTTGATTTAGCCAGTAAAATTTCAGGTGTATCAGGCATGATGTGAACCTTAGTCTTGTCCTTGTTCCAAGCTTCCTTGTAAAGTATCTGAAAGAGACACAAACAAAAACCTGGTCTGATCCAAGAATCACCTGCACAGCAGTAATTTCAGTTCACCTTTACTCTGCATTAGCAAAGCAAAGACATGCTAAGCAAGAATTAGAGATATAAACAAGACAAGATAGTAAAATTAAATAATACAATGACTTCTTACTGAAATACATCCTTTTTTTCTTCTTTACATCCATGTAATGCCAAGGAAACAGCATTCCAACAATATATTTACATATTGCCTACTAAAGGTCTTATTTGCAGTTACACTATGCAAATTATCTCAAGATCTTCATCTTCTGAACAAGGCACAAAGAGCAGTGAGGCCCTGACTATAAACACCTGCTATCTGCATATTTTAAGTGCATGTTCTGAACCAGAGATCCTTTTTAAAATATATGTGAATGTATTCACTTATTGAATCCCACATAAGAGGGAACTTACATCACTCCTGTTTTTGGCATTAGATTTTGCCAAAACGACATCCATGGCATCTGGGATACTTGTGAACTTAATGGTGTCTGGGTGCTGCCTGTACTTCTTCTCATTCAGTATTTCAGAAGCTTTCTTGTTCTTTTCAGCTTCCAGAGATCCCAAAGGACTCCATCCAATGCCTCTGAGCCACTGTAGGTCTGACTTATACACGTTCTGTTAAGGATAAAAATCAAAACCATAGCAGATTATTTCACTGTTCATTGATTAAATGCTGTGGAAAGTCAAACTGGCAGTTTAGCTCCAATCTGATCTATACTGATACCAAAAGCGAGTCATCAAAGATACTTTCCAATCAGCAGTAATTATCTGACATGGAAATAAGAGAATTAAACCCAGAGGGAGCTTACATCACTCTGCAGCTCGTTGACTCTCTTTGCCTCGGTGACATCGACCTGGTCTGGCAGACAAGTCCAGCGGTGCAGTATGTGTTTGTAGTCCACATCACTGACCAGCTCCTGACACTTCTTAGCCAGGAGGAAGCCCAGCATATCCACGGGCATATTGAACTTGGTCTTCCACTTTTCAAAGTCTTTCTTGTACTCCCTCTCACTCTGCATTTTAGCTACTTGCATGGACCACAGCATCTTGGGGTCATCCTGCAAGCTGCGGAATCCGATGTGGTGTCCCTGCTGCTTGCGGTATCCTTCTTTGTACTTGAACTGCAGGGGCAAAGGTGGCACCACTCAAATCACACTGACAAACGTGCAAGGGTAAAATACACAAGCAAAATAACAATATATTCCTTCATCTTCATGCTCCTCATGAAATGATGCCTGGAAGCGTCCAAAATCAGGTTGGATGGGGCTTGGAGTAATCTGGGATAGTGGAGTGTTGCTGTGCCCACAGGAAGGGTGGAGCTGAACAATCTTTAACACCCCTTCCAACCCAAACCATTTTGTGACTCTAGGATTCTATAAATAAGAAACTTGTTATGGCATCTCATGTGAAGTTTTAGCAGTCCCTTGACTAATGTGCATGGCTTGGTGTCAGTGAATGCTCTCTCTGGGAAAGAAAGAGTACCTGGCAATAGGAATGGTCTCCTGTGCCATCTGATTCACACACTCACTCTGTTCAGAACTCCCTAATACTGACACACTGAAATATTTTGATGAATAACATCACCAACAATGAAAAATTATGAAATACAAATATACTTAAGCACAGGAAACATTTCCTAAAGACTAATACAATCTCTTCCACAAATGCAGGAGTTGTATTTGTACCAAGTTATGGTAACAGCAGTCCATGTGTCACCACATCTGTTTCAGAGCTGTAATGAGGATTTCTCTGGACAGGCACTGGGCTTAGCTAATTGGATCAAATCTGCTGCTCCTCTGAAAATGAAGCAGCCAAAAGAGAAGAAAACTTCTCCCTTTTTATGACCAGCCATGCCATGAATGGACCAAACTTTGGACTTGTTAAGATGCCAGAGAAACCCTTGTCAAATTGGACAAGAACAGCTCAGGAAGGAGTTTTGTCAACAGTGTTGATTTTGACTCCAAGCCACACCTTAGCAGAGAGGTGCACATCAATTTACTGTGACTCTGTAGGTTAAAACAACCAGATCAATGAGTATCACATTGATTTAAAAATGCTGCTTACATCACTTGCAATGTCCCTTGAAGCTTTGGCAGCTTTCACTGACATGGCTTCAGGTGTGAGGTCATAGCCTTTCTTTATCATTTCCTCCCAGCCAAGCTTGTAGAGTTTCTAAAATAGAAAACAATATTAATTAAAATCAGTAGTATGGATGTCACCTGATATTTAGATACACTAATGATCCAAATTCTGGTCACCTCACGGGCTTCAGTTATGAGAGAAGAGCTGCTAGAATGGGAACTGAGAAATGGGAAACTGATAAACAAGGAATGCTGGTCTTCCAAAGCTTAGGAGAGGGACTAAACAGTTTTTCATTATTTAGCAGCTTCCTACTATAGCTTATCTTGATTTGAAACATATCTGGAGAATTTGAAATACATACTTCTGAGATAACTGAACACTTTTTGATTGGCTTAACAAAATTTTTAAAAGGTTTTCATGAAGCCATTTAACAGGCAAGTCAGTTTGTGCACAGGTGATTTTAAGTACATGCATTCTTAAGGCAAAGATTTGCCTCTGAGCAAGGATGCAAAGCAAAACCTGAGTGTTTTCTACTGGCACAATTGTCACTTTCTCCTATCTGAAAGCTATCTGAAAGCTGAGAGAAAAGCTGGAATCACTGCAGCTACTTTTTCCCACAGGTGAGGTTAAAAATATACACAATTAACTTGTAAATTTAATAGTTAGGAATTTTTAGCATGACTGAATTCAATGCTAAGCATAGAGTATGGGTTGTGCACTTCCAGATTTCAAAAGCAGGACTTATATTTCCAATACATTATAATGCAGTTTAGTATGTTAGTTTGCTAGCCTGAAGCTGGTACTTATTTTACTCTGAAAATATTACCCACATGAAATACTTGCCTGTATTCTAAATCTCCAGTAGATGTTAATTTAAAATGTTGATGTAGGATGTATCAAAATACTCTACCTGACTGTAGTTTGTCTTGTTCTGTTTGGCCTGTAGAATATCTGGTGTGTCTGGCATCACATGGACCTGAGTTTTATCCTTCTCCCAGGCTTGGGTATAAGCATGCTGTGGACAGAAAGTTACATCAGATGTGTTAATAAGAATGACAAAAGATGGTTCTTCCAGGGTTTTCACCTTTAAAGGTGAAGGTGCTGAGTCAGATTTATTTTACTATGTAATGATCTAGTCCAGAATCAGCTGGTTTATTGTCTGGTCTTGCTTTTAATGAAACCAAACTATCAAGATTTTCAGGATCAGTCATTTTTATATAAGAATGGGATGAATAGAAGTTGGAGAAAAATGAGAAAAAATTTCTTTAACCAATGCTGTTTATCATTGAGAAAAAAAAATTAAAAGAGGAGCCTGTAACAGTTGTTTTTCCCAGGGGAATGCTGCCACATAAAGGTGTGACAGAGATTCACAGAGTGGTTATTGGTATGGATGATATGTGAATGCCTGCCTGGCTTTCCCCCCAAATACTCACTTTGTTCATGATATTTGCATTCTGCTTTGCAAGGACCAGGTCCATGGCATCGTTCTGTTTGGTGAAGGGGAACATGCTGGGGTGCTGCCGGTACTTCCGATCGCTCGCAATCTCCGTGGCTTTCTTTGATTTCTCCACATCCAGAGAACCAATGGGACTCCAACCAATGCCCCTGAACCATTCCTTGTAATCCTGCTTGTACTCATTCTGCCAAACGGGACACAAAAGCAAAGTTTACAACGTACTAACAGCTGATACGGAATAAACCAATTCTTTCCAAAACACAGCCATGATGAAAAAACAAAAGCCACATAAAGAAGACAGCTCATAAAAATAAAAAAATCCTGTTCTTTCCAAACTGCAACCACGACGTAAAAACAAAAGGCACAAGAAGAAAACTTACATCACTTTGGATCTGATTCATGTTCCTGTACAGCTCCAAGCTCATTGCATCTGGCAGGAGCATGTACTGGTGGATCAGGCGTTTGTAGTTGGTGTTGGTGACACGGTCCTGGGCCTCCTTGGCTGCCACCACGCTGAGGGCATCAGCAGGAGTCTGGTAGTGAGTCTTGCTGGTCTCATAGGCCTTCTTGTACTCCCTGTCTGACTGCATCTTGGCCACTTGCATGCAGTGGACAAGTTTGGGATCATCCTGGAGGCTGCGGAAGCCGACGAGTTTGCCCTTGTCTTGTTCATAGCCTAATTTGTATTTATACTGGAGGAGAAGAGAAACAGAGGTTTTCATTCATTTAGATTTGAAATTAGGGAAAAAATGTTGGATCCCAGAAACCTGAGATTTTTGAGCTTTCTGTGCTGTCTGACCTCCAGGAGAACACTGCTTTTGACTTGAGGCCTTGGAGAAGTTTCCAAATTTGAGTGATGGAGTTAAAATCAGGGGTGTGGAGTTAAATAGAAGTGTGTGATTTCACATGGTGAAGGGTTTTGAATTTGGGGTTTTTATAATATAGTAATGGGTATGGGATAAGATGGAGGATTTGGGTGTTGTTTCTTTCTGTGTTCTTCTTCCTTTTTCTCCACGGTTTCAGGGAGCAGTTTTTGGTTGGACGAGTTACTGCTGCACTGAGGGTCACAGGAATTTGGTTATTGGGTCAAAAGTATCAATAATAGAGGTGTTAGTTCTTTATTGGACTGTTTAGCTTTAAAACACCTTGTAACCAGCTGGATTCAGCTCCATTTTGCTCACTTTTAGCTGGAGGCTGGAAGTGTTTCAGAACTCTCTGTACTTTAGATAAGATTTAATAAACAACAAGCCTGAACACGAGAAATTCATCTCCTTCGTGTTTTTAATCCTGACTCTGAGTGAAGACAGAAGAAAACTGCAGACCAGCCACTAATTAAGTGGTGCAAATACCACATTTACAAAAAAATTCTTCCCTATGAAGTTGCTGAGGCCCCAGCACAGGTTCCCCAGGGAAGCTGTGGCTGCCCCTGGATCCCTGGAAGTGTCCAAGGCTATGCTGGAGCACCTTGGGGTAGTGGAAGATGTCCCTGCCCATTTTTCTTCCCAAGAACTTACATCACTGGCAATATCCCTGGAAGCTTTGGCAGCTTTGACAGGAATAGCATCAGCCCTGAGATCATATCCTTTCTTCCTGGTTTCTTCAAATGAAGATCTGTACATTTTCTGCAAAAGGAGAAGAAGAATCTTTTAAAAAAGCAAAAAATTTACATGTTTTCCACACGCACAAATATTGGTGAAAAGTTACATCCATAGGGACGTCATCTTAAAAAATAAAAAGAGATAAAAATGTCTATTTCTGCCCACATTGCAGATGTACATAATTACAAGCAATGCTTTATTTAGCATATGTGGATTTAACAATTGGCTACCAAAACCTGTCTATAATGTCATCTTTTACCAAAAAAACACAGGTGTTATGTACATTTTGAACCCTGTACAAAACCTTGTGCATGGGGAAATAAAAAAACATTAAAAATAAAATACTAAATACAGTAACAAACATGAACAGTACTCAAAGTCTACTGTATTTTGTTAGTAACTGTTAGATTTTAATGGTCTGCATGAACACTTCACAACCTGACTGGCAATTCTGGGTATGTAATTTTGGGGAAGGAAGCAGGGAAAAGGAAAATTATTACGTATTGTGAAATTACTAGAGGTTAGCAAGGTGAGACTTTTGCATGCTCTCATCTCACTTATTCCTAACCAAAAAACAAGAGCAAGGTCGTGGTCTTTCAAACAATACTCACTTCACTTAAATTGAATGCATTTGCTTTTGCTAAAACAATCTGTGGAATATCTGGGGTGATGTGAATTTTCTTTTTGTCTTCTTCCCAGGCTTGTTTGTACTTGTGCTGGAAGGATTAAAAAAATAGAGACCTCAGGATCTGTTATTATTAAATAAAACAATGAAAATACTATTTTCCACTTGAAATCCAAACTGCCTTGACAGTGATGTGTTACTACCACGAGAAGAACATTTATCTTTTTATTTAAAGCACATTCATTAGCTACAAAACAAAATCACCTTTTCTAAAGCTCTGCATACATGATTATTAAATCAGTCATAGATTGTTGCCCACTTCTGCAAGCTTAAATGAACTCTGCTGAGCACTTTCTTACCTCATCCATGATTTTGGCATTATTTAAAGCCAAGACCATGTTCATGGAATCCATAGGAACAGAGTACTTCAACTTGTCTGGATGCTGGCGATATTTCTTCTCACTCACAATTTCCATGGCTTTTTTGTTCTTCTCAGCTTCCAGGGAGCCCAGTGGGAGCCACCCAACACCCTTCATAGTTTCATCATACTCTGCTTTGTATTGATTCTGCAGGCAGAAAGTAGATATAAACCAGTATGAAGCATAAAACAGTTTATAAATTTGGTAGTACGAGATAAAATGTATTGAGGAAAAGTGAAGCTTTTCCTGTCTTGGTCTGCACATAACTATTGCTCCTGATGGGACATGTAAGGAATAAATATTCAATAAATAAATATTCATAAAGTTGCTTATTTCTAAGCTCAAATTCATTAATTTAATATTTCAGAGTCTAGGAAAAAAAATAAATAGCTGTAATTGTTGAAAAACTTGTATAATTTACTACACTTTTGTAGACACCTGACCTAATTTCACTAAGAAAATAATATTATTCACCTTACAGCGTTTTCTCATAAACTAAGCACCTTTGTATTCACAGTGCAGAGGCTGAAGCACCTCTTACTTACATCACTTTGTAACTGCATCATGTTTTTGGCCAATTCAATGCTCATAGCATCGGGCAGGACGTTGTAGGTGTGGATTAAGTTCTTGTAGTTTGCATTTGTAGCCACTTCCTGAGCTTTCTTGGCTGCCACCACGCTGACCATGTCGACTGGAGTGTGGAAATGAGTCTTGGCCTTCTCATAACCCTTTTTGTACTCCCTGTCAGATTGCATCTTGGCCACTTGCATGAAGTGCACCAGCTTGGGGTCGTCCTCCAGGCTGCGGAAGCCGATGTGCTTCCCTTTGGCCTTCTCATAGGCCAGTTTGTATTTATACTGAGAGCAGGAAAGAGAAAGAACAGCAAAAAAACTCAATTAAAAAATGCAGTGTTAAGCTCTGTTTTATCACTGATCACAAGATCTCAGGATTAGTAACTTAATTTCAATAAAGCTACGGAATGGTATCACACAACCACACTCACATCGCTTGCGATGTCCCTGGAGCTTTTGGCTGCTTTTATTGGAATTGCATCTGGCTGCAAGTCATAACCCTTCTTCTTTTCCTCCTCCCATCCAGATTTGTAAAGTTTCTAAGATCAGATGTGAAAGGGAACAGGTGTCATGGAGGCTGAACTCTGAAGTTAGACATTTTCAAACAAAGCATTAAAATTGGCACCATGAGCCCAGCAACTCACATCGCTCATTGTCATCTGGTTCACTTTGCACTGCAGAATTTCTGGGGTGTCTGGCATCACATGGATGCTGGTCTTCTCTTTGTTCCATTTATCTGTGTACAGCCTCTGCAATTACAAAGGAATTTTTAGCATTGAAAAGGTACTGAACTCATAAAATAAGAGTTTGCTTTTGTTCTGCTCATTTTGCAATAAATGATATTTCCTAGAAATATTATTAGCACCAGAAATAACCTTCACAGAGCTGCTGAGGGGCTACATTATCTTCCTCCTTTCTTTAATGTTGTAAAAAATTTTCAACATATGTTTTGATAATTAATAAATATTGAAGCTGGAAGTTTCCAATCTGTGCTCTTCCCTGCCTTAATGGGAAGAATTTATTTTCATAGACATTCTTTCCATGGAAAACAAGGAATAAGGATCAGTGGTGTCCTGGATAATTAGAGATAAATGTAAAGAACTCCACTTTCCAGGAAACTTGTACAAAACTGACAGAATTCCAGGTTTTCTGCAGTTCACTTATTGTGAATACGTCCTACAGAAAAAGGAATATCAAATATAAATCTGGAGAAGAAATCTTTAATCTTTAGAAACAGAAAATGAAATTCATAATTAAATGAGCAGTCAGAGGCTCACCATGATCTCCCAGTGTCCAGTCTTAACCAAGGAACTGCCACACCCATTGGAAATTTTAATTATTCCAGTGGGAATGCACCTTGCCCCACAACTTTGCAAGACAGAGACCCAAACTTTGAGTCAATCCAACAACTTCCCACCTTGTTCATGGTCTTGGCATTTTGCTTTGCCAGCACTTGTTCCATGGCATCCATGGGGATGGAGAACTTGAGCTGGTCGGGATGCTGGCGGTATTTCTTCTCACTGAGAATCTCCGTGGCTTTCTTGGCCTTTTCTACATCCAGTGACTGAATTGGGACCCAGCCAACTCCTTTCAGCCAGTTATTGAAGTCAGATTTGTACAGATTCTTTTCAAAAATAAACAAGGAAAACGCAGCGAGGCAAGAAAAGTTAGTGTCTATACACATAAAGCAGGTGAAGGTTTAGAACTTCCCCTGGTCGTTCATTTTTGAGGGGCAATTTAGATTTAATTAAAATTTAAGTATTATAGAGTCAGTGTTTAGGAGAGGTAAAATCATAGTAATTAAAATCTAACTGCAAAAATGCAATTAGTAAAACATGCTCATTTGCTGGGAATATGCCAAATATGGAGAGATATTAAAGAAGTTGTTACTTTCTCGATAAGGTTCCTACAACTTAATAGCTACACATAATTCTGATAATGTTTGGAAAATAAATGGCTCCAGACCAGTCACATCCCAACCTACTGTTAATCCAATATAATATATATTGGACTATATAAGTTAATTTTTTAGCCTTAAAAGATCAATGATATCACACAGCCATGACGAGAATTAAAAATGGAGCTGATTATTGATGACATACATCACTCTGGAGCTGCATCACATTTCTGGACAGTTCCAGGTTCACAGAATCAGGCAGGAGGGTGTAATTGTGAATTGGCTGCTTATAGCCAGTGTTTGTCACCACTTCCTGGGCTTTCTTGGCAGCTGTCACACTGAACATATCCAGAGGAGTGTGATATTTGGTCTTGGTGACTTCATAATCCTTCTTGTATTCCCGATCCGACTGGATTTTGGCCACGTTCATGTAGTGAACAAGTTTGGGATCATCCTGCAGGCTCCGGAACCCGACCTGTTTGCCTTTGTCTTTCTCGTAGGATTCCTTGTACTTGACCTAAAGACAAAGGAAAAACACCTTTAGCCACTTGGGAAAGACAAAACACACTTTGGACAGGTTTAAAACACTGACTTTCAAAGTATTAATGCTGCAGTTCATTCTAGAACCTCATAAATGGTTTTTACGACAGCACGGGATTATTTAGGTCAAAAAAAGAAGAGGATTATTGGATTTTTCATCTTGCCTTGACTCCTGGTACATATCTCAACCCACACCTGCAGCTACAAGCTCTCCCTCACCATTGTCATTGAGGCAGGCTTGCCACTCCCAACTTTTAATTAAGACTATAATAATAATAATAATAATAATAATAATAATAATAATAATAATAATAATAATAATAATAATAATAATAATAATAATAATAATAATAATAACTGAGCAGCCTCACCAACCAATTCAATATCCCAATATTCAATTGGGGATGTTCAAGAGAGGAATGAAGAGTCACCTGTAACCTTTTGCTAAAGCAGGTAAATAATAAGAAATAATGAAATGCTGGAGGGGTGTGTGTTCCACTGGATGTAAATCCTACTTACATCACTTGCAATATTCCGAGAAGCTTTAGCAGCAATAATTGGAATGGCATCTGGTTTCAGATCGTAACCTTTGGAAAGGGTTTTCTTCCAGTCTGCTTTGTAGTTAGCCTTGGAGGGGAAAAAGGGAAGAGTTTGCAGTGTCAGGAATAGCAATTTTAATAAAGATTTGAAGCCCATGTTTTTATTATAGGAAGTAAAATATCCATGTAATCTCAAGGAAAAAATGTTAACCTGTACACAAACGACAGTTGTATGATAATAAATTACTCTACTACAAAGATAATAACGAAGCCCACAAGCATTTTTCCACTTTTCATTGAGAACAACTCTATCAGTGGCATTTTTGCCCTTTCTTATGCAAAATCCTTTTCCATTTGACTGAACCTTCAGAAAGTTTTTTCCTGTTAGCTTCAAACTTGGGCTTTGTGCTCTAAAGGGACTGGAGAAAGCAGCCTGGCTGATTTTTTTTTATCAGTCTGGTCAGACTATTAAAATTCCAAGGTTATTCAGGGAGATTTCAGTTTTTATCTCATTCCTGGAAGTCTGATAATGCCACCAAAAAATTTAACATCACAAAGGCAATGAAATTGATACCATCTGTGAAGAGCTTCATGGTGTTGAAATTCAAAATACACTCACATCACTGATGTTGTAGGCATTAACTCTAGCCTGGATGAACTGGGGCACATCAGGAGGGAGGTGGTACTTGTGAATAATTTCTTCCCCTTTGGATTTATATAAGATCTGCAAAGAAAAAGAAAGAAAGATATTTAGCAGCCCAATTTATAGACTGTGAATAGGAAAACTATTTTTAAAAAAATCTGATTTCCAGGTGATGTTCTGCTGGAATAAAATTGTAAGTACACACAGTCACCGACACAATTATTTCAGGAGTGCTCTTAAAGCTGGAGGATGAAGTGAAGGTGGGCACAGGGCAGAAATTGGGAATGTCAGAGTTTTTCCAAAGTTTACTTACATCACTCAGCTGTTTGCTGTTGATCTCTGCTTGCTTCTGGACTGGAGAGTCGGTCACTGAAGTGAATTTGGTTTGATCAGGATGCTTTTTGTAGGTATGCTGGAAGAAGATTAAAAAAATATTTTTAGAAAATGCATATAAAGCATTTCCCAAGTGTTGATAAAACAAATAAAATTATTAATAAATTAAGTAGTTTTAAAGTGTTAATTTTTAAAAATATTGATTTAAGCAGGTGAATGCTTGAGGCTCATTCTTCATTTTGGTACTACTGCTCTCATTTTATGGGTTGACTTTTTATAAAAAGGATTGTGCTATATCTCTTTTGATCACTAGATGTCACAAAAGGCCCTAAAATAGAGATGAAGATTTTTTTTTTAGAAGTGACATAAGGCAATGAGGCCAAACTCAGAATCCTTGATGTTAGCAGGGATCACTCAGTTCATTTTTGTGTGGTGAACTGTGTCCTGTACTCACATCTTTACATTGCTCCAACTTCTTGATTGCTTCATACTCTTGAGTTATGGTCTGAGGGAAGTAGCACTTTGTCTTTTCCTCCTCATAATCTGCTTTGTAATTTTTCTAAGAACAAGAGCAACGTTCAGTAAGGAACCACAACTGAGATTTCTCCAAACTGCCAGAGTGATGGGGAAAACAGAACGATTGCCACACTTACATCACTTTTCATAGCTTCAACCTTCATGCAGTGGATCTGATGTGGGTCCTCAAAGCTGCCCAAGTAGTGCCCCAAAATATTCTTCTGATAAGCATCTTTATATTTTACCTGCCAAAATAACCACGAGTTGAGAAGCAAAAGTAGCCAAGAGGGTCAGAACTGAAGGATAAACCCCAAGTAGAATACTTACATCACTAAAGTTCTTCAGAGCAGCATCAGTCTGGAACTTGGGTGTCTCACAGTAATTCATCCTGTTCCCTTTGGACTGTTCATAGGCTTCTTTGTATAATTTCTGCAAATCAAATAATACCAGATCATGCAGATTTCACTGCATGCCACCCCCAACATGTTAAAATGACAAGAGCAAAACAGAGAAACTCTTCCAAAGAAAAGCTTCCCACAGGACTGAGAAACAGATGGCACTGTTTTCTCAATGGTCTTTAAAAATAACTTTTTTTTAGGTTTGTAAGGGAAGACAGAAAGGTCTGACTAATGTTTTTTGAACTTCTGACACTGAGAAATATTCAATCTCTTTTCATACAAATAAAAGAGGGATTGAGAAGACTGTTACAGCAAATAACCAGAATATAATATAAAAATATGTTAAAGTACCACATATATTATCATTAGCTGAAATTCCTTAAAAGAGTAAGGGAAGAATTGTCCTCTTGTGATTCATTATCCACAAGGATCTAAATTAACTACCCACTAATTAGCCATTCACGTGCCACTGCTGTTGTTAAACTCATCTGTGGAGAATTCATTCTTTACCTGAATTGTTCTGGCTGGTGCTATCTCATGACAAATATGAGTCCACAAAACTAAAAATACTACAAGATCCAAAAGAGAAGCCTTGTGAAGGAATGGTGAGCGTGGTTTCTGGTACATGACCGAAAATGATGTAGCTGCACACTGATAATACTCACATCACTCAGAATATTTCCTGCAGTTTTTAATTGCTGCAGCAATGGGTTCTCTGTAGCAGGGAGCACGTTATAATCTGCAACAGCTTTTTTCTTTTCATAGTCTGCTCTGTATTTGAACTGGAAAGAATAAAAATTTTTTAAAAAGAGGTTTTAAAAATCAATATTAAAAGCCAAATGCTCACTAAGCTGTGTGATTGGCCAGAGAAGCTGTGGCTATTCCTGGAAGTGTTTGGATGGGGCTTGGAGCACCCTGGGACAGTGGAAGGTGTCCCTGCCCATGGCAGGGGTGGCACTGGGTGGTCCTTAAGGTCCCTTCCCTCCCAAAACCATTCAGTGATATCAATCTATTCTATGATATAACCTTCCACTTTCCAGGAAAAACGCCCTTGTTGTTTAACTCATGGTTGCAAAGGACCATGAAAGGTTTTGCCAAAACAATTCCAGCACCAATTTGTGTGAGTTCAGAACTGTTCCCAGGCTGAACAGGTGGCACACAGGTCCCTCACCTTGCTGACGTTTTCTGAAGCTCGTTTGTTGGCTTCATATTCTGGAGTTTCAGTCTGCATGAAGTAGATTTGGTCTTTCATGTTTTCAAAGTCTTCCTGGTATTTCCTCTGTTAGGAACAGAGGCAGACAGAAAACAGCACATCACACATCTACACCAGGGATTATTTAGGAAACAAGCAATGCCACAAATGGAGCCTCAGGATTTTCCACATGAACATAAAAAGGGATGGAGCTGTTGAAGATTTTCTGCAGGATTCACTCACCATGCTTAGATTTTCTGCGTTCATTTTTGCAATTGCCACGTCATAGCACGGAGTTTGACTCCACTTGCCTTTGATTTTGTTTTTATAGTCCTCATGGTAAATAACCTATAAGGAAACAAAACAATAAAATTGAATCTCCAAGACACAGCTCCATTTTCACTTGACAGATTCTTTTTTCAAAGCTGTCTTTTTAAAGCTCACACCTGCCTTATAGCAGCTATGGTCAAAAACACCTTAAATATGATTCAGCCAAACCATTTCAGTGTTAAGGCATTTTTCTTAGTACCTTCCCTGACCTAAAAAGGAGAAATAAATCATCTCTAACATATTCCTTTAATTCTGTTTTCTCCCTGGACAGGTAATATCAGGATATTGCCCATAAAGTCAGAATTTACTGGTATTGATGCTGGAACTGGTTATAAACAAATCCTTTTAATTACCTGGTATTTGTGATTTCTATTATTTATTCAAGCTCACAGAATTCAAGTATGAAAAGTTTAAAGAGTTTGTCTAACAACAAAACACCTGCCTGAGTTTCTACTTGGTGTTTCAGACTTACCATAAAAAATAAAACTCCTCCAATGCTTTTTAAACATTGCTAAAGAATATATATGCCAAAAATAATCTTTAAAAAATCGATATTTTATAATTTTGGAGATACCTACAAGGCTCATTATTTTATTCATTTCAAAGAATTATGGTACGATCTCTTTTTTTTTTTTTTACATGCTATAAAATTTTCTTGATGGCAATTTAGCTTTTAAGCTATGAAAAGATAAGATTAAAGAAATTTTCTCTAAATTAATTATTTTACCTTACAAACGGGTTCAGTGCAATTTTCTTAGTGGTTTCTCCACCATGACTGAATACTGCAATTCTCTAATCTTAAAATTCAGATAATTTTCAATACACAATAAAATAAATTAAAAAAAAAAAAAAGAAAAATAGTTAAATTCTCCTTCCAATATTATGCAACTTGGTCCCAATTTTTCCAGCAAAAATTGGTCTTCCTGTGTGTTTTTCCTTTTGCCTTCCCTTTCCTTAGGTGCCTTTTTTTTGAGGGTTTGGGCAGCAGGTTCTACTCACATCACTCAGCTGCCTTGACACCTTCTTGGCTTGTTCCACATCAGGGGGGTCTGGCAGAGAGGTGAATTTTGCTTTCCTTTCATCGTGCCCCTTCTTGTAGACAATCTGAAAGGATGGAAAAAATAAACATTTATTTGAGCATCACAGCATTTGAGCTCTGCTCTCATCACATCCATAAAAGAAGTTCTGCCCACAGCCCCTGCAGCAGGAATTCTTTAATCTGTGGGATTAAAGAACCCAGGGAACCTCTGAACAAAATTCACTGAAATCTTCAAGTGAGAGCTGAAATCCCCTGTTGAAGAGTTCTGTGTATCTAAATATCAGCAAATCCCAGTCCCACCAACTCCTGCCTTTGCTTATTTTTGAGGCACATTTTCACACCCACAAGAGTTGGAGACAACCCTGAGAGTTTCTGCATTTGGGGAGATACTTGAGGTCTTCTTGCTGATTTAATAAATTATTGAGTTTATTCCTAATCCAGCATCAAATTGCCAATGGATTTATACTCTAACATCAAGTACCTATTTTTCTATCAAACACCACTACTACCAGAGCTTATTTAACACACTTTTATTTTCTGTTGCACGATGAAGCTTTTATATCTCATCAAAGTCCATGGCATGTCCCAGGTTCCACCATAACCCAATCCCTGCTTTGATACTCACATCACTCAGAGTCTTCTGAGCCTGGGCCACCCTTCTGAGCTCTGGGCTGTCATTGTAGGGATAAAACAATGTTTTGTCTGCATCCCAGTCTTCAGTATAGAGTTTCTACAAGAAAAATGCCAGAATGCTCATTATTCATTCATTTCTGGCTTTGAAAGCTTCTTTCACTTCAGCTACTGAGACCTGTGATTATTTATTCTTACCTTGCTGAACATTGCTGTGTTTTTTATTGCATTCACAAGCTCTGGAGCATCAGGGGGAAGCAGGTATTTGTCTTTATTCTCCTCCCAGTTCTGTTTATATAATACCTGGAAGGAAAGATGAGCATTAAAAAATGTTTACTTCTGTAAATGAACTGCCTGCTTTAAAGAGGTTTTTTAAAATCCAAGTCTCAGAGCAGTAACATCTGAAGAGAGCAACTGGAAATATTTAATATTATATTTATATTTATATTTGCCTTTCCAACTTCTCTGCTATCCCTCCCCGTGCTTCTAAACTGTTGCTTTAAACGTTGCTTTAGCACCCTGAGCTAAAATCTTTGTTGTTATCAGTAACCTCAGGCTCCAGCAGTGCAGGGAAAGTCAGAAGTCACTCACCTTGCTCACTTGCTGTGACACTTTCTTGGCATGTTCTATATCCATGGCCTTTTCATCCACGTGGCAAATGGTTCTGGCAATTCCCCCAGCCATGCGGTATTTAACCTGGGACAGGACACAAAATTCATTGATCCTACAGCAAAACTGACTGATTCCTTTTTTTAAAAAAAACCCCCAGAATAATGACATTTTCACCCTTCATATAAACACCTGGTTAAACCTAGAAATGCAGTTGTTACTCACCTCACTGAGCTGGTCCTGCACTTTCTTGATCCTTCGGATTTCTGGGGTATCAACTGTGGAAGCATATGGCTTTCCTCTTTCTTTTCTAAATTTTTCTTTGTACTTGTTCTGGAAGAAAATAATGATAAAGATAATTAAGATATATCCCTGAGCTCTGGCAGAACTGTATTGGCAATTATTGCCATGTTTGTCTGGTTAGGACAGGAATTTGGGGCAGATTATTCAGTAATATAAACTAAAATTATTCAACTACATTTGCACTTATGCTTATTTTAGCTGAGTTTATTCCATCTGACACAACAGGAAAAAATCCACCTCTAATTTATTACATTCCCCCATGAGTTTAGTATTGATAAACCCAGTTATTTGCACTATAACTATCAAATAACCCTTGTAAAACAGTTTTAAAGCTGGTGTTCCTCAAGAAACAAGAGACATGGGGAACCTTACCTCGCTGAATAAGTCCTTCATTTTATTGCTGTGTTCCAGGTAAGGTGTCAAAAACTTGGATGGGTCCACTTTTGTCCGGATTGTTTTTTTCCTGACAGGAGGGGCTGCATCCTCCCCGGAGGGCTGGGTGTGCTCAGTTGTGTAGGTGGTGGTTGTGGTGACCTCAGGGGTTGAGTATTCTGTGCTGATGGTCTCAGTGAACTCAGTCACCACCTGGCGAGTAAAAAAAAAAAAAAAATCAATAATCACTTGTTTTATAGCTGTAAAAGTTAATTAGAATATGGGATTTCACCCCCCCTGAGTTGGGTGTGCTCAGCTGTGTAGGTGGTGCTGGTGGTCTCAGGACCTGTGCTGATGGTCTCAGTGATCTCAGTCACTATCTGGGGATCAAAAAAATTCAATAATCACTTGTTTTATAGCTGTAAAAGTCCATTAGGATTTGGGTTTTCACCACTCAGAGCTGTGTGTGCTCAGTTCTGAAGGTGGTTGTGGTGACCTCACAGCCTGAGTAGTCTGTGCTGATGGTCTCAGTAACCACCTGTGGATTTAAAAAATTCAGTAATCTCTTGTTTTATAGCTGTAAAAATTTGTTAGGATAAGGGTTTTCACCCCCCTGAGCTGGGTGTGCTCAGCTGTGTAGGTGGTGCTGGTGGTCTCAGGACCTGTGCTGATGGTCTCAGTGACCACTTGGAGATTAAAAAAAATTTCAATAATCACTTGGTTTATAGCTGTAGAAGTTCACTAGGATAAGTGTTTTTCACCCCCCTGAGATGGTAAAAGGATGCTCTGCTCTCATGCAGATCCACACGGAGACAGAAAATCAGGGACACTTTTCCTACTGGGATTACCACTGTGCTCCCTATATATCACCCACCCTAAAAAAATCCCACAAGGAATGAACTCTCTGGCTGCTTGCTGCATCAAACTCATGGAATTATTCTCCAGAGGGTCTGGGAGAGTGGGGCTCCAGCTGCCTCTGCTCTACATGCATTCATTTCAAATTAATTTAAATGCTTTATACACTTTATCAACATAGTCAGGCTGCAAGTAAGTAATTTTGGTACTAAGATTCTAAAGAAAAGCATCTAAAAATAATTGGCACAATTAAAAAACGTGCTCAAAAATCACTCAAATAAGTGTCAAGTTTTACTTCGTATCAATTAGCTTTATAAAAAATTGCCTTTGGAGAGGAATTCACGAAGATCAGAGCTCTGAGAGTTATTTGCTTCAATGAGACAGAGGTGAAAATGCACCAAGGATTACACAATTAATAACTTCTGTTTCTGCAGAAGCCCATGCCATAAAGAATATTTCATTATAACAAAGCAGACACTTGGGCTATAGCTCTTTCAGGAGTAGAATTTCAAATTATGGCAATCATTCCTTGGTGACCCAAATATTTGTTACCAGTGGCATGATAAAAAATCTGCAAAACTGTAATTTTTTCAGTGAAATGACACAAAGTGAAAGGAACAGAACTGATACATGTAAACTGATCTTAGATCATCACACAGCAGGGACTTGAAGCAAAAATAAAGTATTAAGCAGCAATTGTTCACTGATATTTGTGTGTTTAACGTGAAAAATTAAACCTCAGAATGCAAAAGGCTGCTAATTTGGTATTTCATGTTAATTAGATGCATTTATGTGCTACATGCAGCATGACAGGGACCTTTACCTCATGTGGCTCACCCTCCTCAATAACTGTCTCTTCAATGTAGTACTTTGGAAAAAAAAAAAAGAGAAAAAATATCATTGTTAGGCCAGATCAGCAAATTGTAGCTTCTGTGAAGCTGTTTTAAAACACATTTCTGGAGAAACAGGATTTTAGTTCACAGGTATTTATGGAGACATCTGATAATTCTGAATATCTGTCCAAATTTTGAATTAAGGATCGGATTTTTATTGCATACATTCCCCAACTAATAATCATCCAAATAATTAATGAAAGATTGTCATCTAATTTTACCCACAAGAGGGAAGACATTGACGACCACATTGAAAGAATCAGCATTTAAACCCCAGGATTTTCCTGGTTTTTATTTGGTGGCACTCATGACTGTTGTCCTCAGGGTTGCTCCTACAAGGACACACCAATAATTTCTGGTTAAACTTTGTTGCTGATCACAACTCCGAGCCTGCCGATTTTTCACCCGTTTCACTGCCCATTATCCCCCCCCACATCTCATAAATTTGGGGATAAAACCACAACGGGATGTGTCCCTAAAGCAGCCTTCACTGCTCTCCCCTCATCCACAGCAGCTGCGAACTCATTATAAAAATTAATGAGGTTCATCAGCCGTACATTGCTCTTGATAACTCAGTGTTCATTTCTCCACACGACCTTCGTGCCTTTCATGTGTTTAAAAAAAGCTTCTCGAAGGATTTGTTCCCAAAGAACAAAGTGAGGTTGGCCGGCCTGTAGCCCCCCGGATCTCCCTTCTTGCCTTTCTTGAACAGCAAATCCAGCTGAACATTGTCCTTGGCTATAGGAATGGAGCTTGTAATGCTTTAAATCTTTAAGTTTCTCCCAAGTTGTCTGCTCCTGCTTCCACCTTCAGTAATTTTTTTCTTTTTTTTTTTTTTTGGTGTAATTTTGCTCAGTCGGGAGCTCAGTGGTGCTCCACTCCATCCTTCTGCTGTTTGATTTTTGCACTTTGTGTGCTGAGGGAAAATCAAACTACTTTTGGTGCCTTTGCTGTTTCCCACAGGATTTTCCCCGAGCAGCCCCGATTCTGCCCTTCCAAAACCTGCGATAATTCCATTTATTTTGCTCGCCGCTCCCTGTATCTTCACCTCCGTTGTCCCACGGTCATTGCAGCCATCCATGTTTGCATTTTCCACCACTTCTGGCTTCTTTGTGAGCTCCAAGTCCAGCGGAGCATCTTTTCCAGCCGGGACAAAGAGTTGGGAAAGGATCTTGGAGCACCAGGAGCGGCTGAGGGAGCTTGGAAGGAGAGCCTGGAGAAAAGGAGGCTCGGGGAGAACCTCCTGGCTCTGCACAACTCCCTGACAGATCGGGCTTTGCTCCCAGGGAACAACCCACAGGACAACGGGAAACAGCCTCAGCTTGCGCCGTCTTTTGTGGGATTTATTTAACTTTGTCGGATTTATTTCAAGTTTATTTCCCGTCCGTCACTTCCCGGCCGCGGCCGCGCGGTGGCGCCGTCCCGCGGAAATGGCGGCCGCGCTGAGGGGAGCGCCGGGGCCTCGGCCTCCCGCTCCGCCCCGCTCAAAAACGGCGGAAAAAAAAAAGGTTTAAAAGACATTGCTGCAGGAACGACAGCCGCAGTGTGCGGGGTGGGCTTCACCGGCACAAAGACTAAATGGAAAAATGCGGGGTTTGTGTTGGAAAATCTCCTTCGAGCGGTAATTGCTTGGGGTCGCTTGCCACAGCTGCGGGAACGGAAAATCCTTTGAAGTGAAAAAATTTCTCGTTAAAATTGAAGCCCCTTTCTGAGAGCTCTTCCTCAAAGTTACTTCAAGCGACCAAGCTGTGACATATTGGGCTGTTCTGAGGTGATTTTCATGCTGGACATCCTTCGACAACACCTTCCACAAACCTCCCGCAAAACTTTCCTCAAACTTTCTACAAAACCGTCCTCAAACTTTCTGCAAAACCGTACACAAATTTCTACAAAACCTTTCACAAACTTTCTACAAAGCCTTTCTACAAAACCATCCACAAGCTTCCTACAAAAACTTTCACAAACTTTCTACAAAACCATCCACAAACTTTCTACAAAACCTTTCACATATTTTCTATATGAATCTTTCACAAACTTTCTACAAAACCGTCTACAAATTTCTACAAAACCTTCCACAAACTTTCTATAAAACCATCCACAAATTTCTACAAAACCTTTCACAAACTTTCTACAAAACCATCCACAAACTTTCTACAAAACCTTCCACAAAATCCTCTGCAAAACCTTCCAAAGGTTTCCACAAAACTTTCCACAAACTCCCTTGCAAAATCTTCCACAAACTTTACACAAAACCTTCCAAAAACCCTCAAGTAACTCAGCAGCAAATATTTGTATCACTCACTGTGGATTTTTGCATGTTCCAAGACAGCTACAACATCAAGTAATGGCTCATAATTCCAGAGAAAGTTAAAAAATAGCATCTTAAAATCCTTGGCAATGCCTCAGCCACTCAATATTCAACGATCGTGTCCTTCTCTTTCAGAAGATGAATTTCTGATAGAACTTGTAGGTTTAAAATCCTGGACTGGTACAGGAATTAGGAAAATTCTGGAAAAGTTTAAAATTGTAGCAAATGTTGTTGTTCCTCTTTTATTTAGCATCTCACCACGAGTATCCCAAGGGAAGCTACTAAAGCATTGCCTCCTCAGCCCAAGGGATGTGGTTACAGCAAGGTGGTCATTGAAAATTAAAAACAAAGGATGAAATGGGGCTGTGTGAACAAAAAGCCCAAAATATCATAATTCTGGCTGGAATAAATAAACAATGAGAACAAATAAATACCCATTAACAGAGAGCACACAATGCACAGGAAACATAAAGGCAATTACAAGTAACATGGGAATAAGAAATTTAATGAAGGGTTGGTGTCATTGTAGCTAGGTAGTAAGATGTCTTTAAAATTGACTTTATGAGTGGTGACACCTATTTTGCAAAAGGCATTTAATTACTGTGACTGGCAAATCATTTGGCTTTACTTCATTCACTATTTAAATATATAAAGCTGGCAGTGCCCTTACACCACCTGAAATCAATAATGTGGTGGCAGTGAGTTGTAGGATGTTTACATTTATATTCTTGCTCTTTTCCTCAAACACTGAGTGATTTTTTACAAGACTTTGTGCATTTCATAACACGTAAGTTAATTTCAGAGTAGTAACAATGCAACAAGTAAGACCTCACTGTTAATTTCGTGTGCTATTTCCACAACAAAGTCATTGTGGCTCCAGCTGTAGGTTGCCCAGTTCCTGGGGAATTTTTTATTCCGTTTCCTGAGACTAAATAATTCAGCATCTAACTGTGAGTTTAAATGAGCTACTGGCAAATTAATCCACGGTGCACCTCCGTGGACACAGAGTCACGGAATCACGGAATGCCCTGGGTTGGAAGGGACCTTAAAGATCCCCTGTTCCTCCCCCTGCCATGGGCAGGGACACCTCCCACTATCCCAGATTGCTCCAGCCTGGCCTTGGGCACTGCCAGGGATCCAGGGGCAGCCACAGCTGCTCTGGGCACCCTGTGCCAGGGCCTGCCCACCTTCACAGGGAAGGATTTCTTCCTGATCCCTAATTTAAATCTACCCCCTGTCAGTTTAAATTCCTCCCCCCTTGTCCTGTCACTTAAACCTGGCTCATCTCTGCAGCAGGCTCAGGCTAAATTGGTTTGTGGTCCCCTGGTGGCACAAAGCTGCTGCATTTCTGCAGAGGCAGGGCTAGAAAGGGGCTTCCAAAGTCATCTTCTCCAGCATGGATTGGGTGACAGAGGGCAAGCCAGGAGGGAAAAGAGCTGGCCCAGTGCATCTATAATTATCAGGGAGTAATCAGAAAACCTCGCACTGTGAGTGTGGGATGGTTCCAGTCCTTATTTAAACCGAGAAACTATGACAGGAACCAGGAGACTTTGCTCCACCGAGAGCAACTGTTGTTGTTGTTGTTGTTTTACTGATGAAACCATTTAATGGATATCTAATCATCCCTAATCTTCAGACAGCAAACAGCAACCTCTGCTCCCGAGCAGCGTCTCAGGAAGGTGATTAATGTATTCAGTCACAAGGCAGGAAACAAACATTTCTGCTCTCACATTCTCTTCTTACCTCCACTACTTCCTCGTATTCTTCTTCCTCCATTCTGAGGGTTTGCTTCTGTGTCTCCCCCACTCACTGGTCACACAGCAGGTGAAAATGTGAATAAACAGTATTAGCCCATGACTGAAAGTACCATGAGAGTATAAGTCAGGTTCATAAAGCACTTGGGGTCATGGTTAGTAACTAGTCACACCCTGAATAAAGTTGGGATCTGGCATTACTTGGACTGTTATGGAAAAACATTGGATTAAGTTTCAAACATACTGATATGAATTACAATTTTGGACAAATACCTCATTCCAGTTACAACATCAACACTGGATCCAATGAAAATAAAATAAAAGAGAAAATAAGAGATCTCTTGAGACATGATGTCGTATTTTCACTACAACAGAATTATTTGAAGCATTTTTCTTTTCTCTGTGACTATTCTCTGCTACTTCATTATATCATTCAAGCTCCCATTTCAATGGGAGGGAGATTTATATTCTACTATATTCATTCATAAGTAAGAGCATAATGTGGAAGAATATTGTAAACATTTTTTTAAGTGACCTTAGGTTAATGAGGCAATTTCTGTCTTCCCAGCATCAGCCTACAGAGATGCTCTGGGTTTTTTTTTTTTTTAACCTCTTGTGGGTTTCTTCTCTCTATCTCTTCAGACCTGGAAAAGATGAAAATCCATAGAGTTGGCTGAAGTAAAAAGCAAGATTAGTGTCAGAACCTTTGAACGAATTAATTAACACCCTGATTTTGCTGTGAGGCAAAGCTACAATTTTCCAGCGGGCTCTGCAGCCCTGTTTCTAATGTTGGGAGTGGATGAGGCTTTGGAACAGCTGCTCCTGAGTCCAGGGATATTTGCCGTGTAAGCTAATCCTGCCAACTGACGGGGTGGTTGTGTTGAGCTGGCTAAAACTGCAATTCCTTCTGAGGCAAGGGAAGTCAAGTCATGCAGGTTAAATATAGGAACACAGAATACTGGCCCTTTTTAGTCCCAATGGGCTGAGAAAAATGGCCAAAAATTTAATTGGGAAAATCGCATTTTAAACTATGAAAATAAATGAAGAATAACTCAAATAATGAGTGACAAGTCACGTGGAGCAGTAGGCCGAGGGGTGTGGATAAACTCAAGAAGTGGGGTTTGCATATAAACACAATCCCTTCAACCTGTCACTGTTACAACCTTCAGCCACGCTTCCAAACCCCATTCCAGGTCTTTTCCTCCTCCACCAATCCCCAGCCCGTTATTCAGAGAGAAAACCTGACTTCCATGGGAAAACACAATGAATATTCCCAAAAAAACTACACAATGGGGAAACAGCTCGAGATCCTCTTTGAAAAAAAAAAAAAAAGAAGTGAAATGCATTTAAAATGTCCTTACCAGCGACATCCAGTAAATATCCTTTGGAGCAAAGGCTCTCCAGTCTTCCCTCCTGAGCAGCACTGGGTGAGAGCGAGGGGGTTTGGTGGCTCCTGGTGACGTGTGTGACCCACAGGGCCAATCTGGCTGCAGCCTGCTCGAGTTTCATCCCTAAATATACCCGGTGACCCCGAGGGAGGCCACCTGTTCTCTGCAGCATCAGGGAGAGGGAGCTGGGCACCCCCGTGCTCCTCAGGAACCCCAGAACACACCAGAGCTTGGCTGGGGCTCGCCAGGGTTCAGTGAGATGGAGCCCCAGGCAAACCCAAGGGAGCTCTCCAATGGAAAAAAATGTGATTATCAGAGTTGATAATAACGTTGGATTTCAATTGATGGAGGCAATTTTGTTCTTCTAATGTGCCTGAATAAACACCATCCAAATTCAAGAAGCTCTGAACGTGAGGAGTCCACACTGCAAACTAAATTTTAGTACAAACGTGTCTTCAATTTCACCCCAATTTACACCTGAAGTGCTTTTTCACCTTGATGCAAATCATGTGTCAATATTTTGATCACCTACGAAATGTTTCGTAGCTGAACACGCAGACCCAGGAACAGCTGAAAAGCGACTGTTTGCAAGGAAGGAACCCCACAAACCTGGTGAAGGAAGTCCAAGAAGAGTTGATAAACAGATTAAGTGACAGGGGAGCAACCCTGGTATTTTGGAAGGTCAGGAATGCTGTGATGTGTGGAGCAGAACCAAGGGGATGATAACAGACTTGACTTCTTAGGGGATCACTCAACTGACACAAATAGAGTTGACTTTGGTTCTTCAAGGTTCTTCAATATCAACAATGATCCCTTTCCATGTGCTAGATCACATAATTCAATAAATGATTGTCAGGAGCCCTTGAGAGACATCTCTTTCCTTAACTCTTTCCAGAAGTTCATATTTATATCCAGATGAAATATCATATCTCATGCACTACTGCCAAGTATTTTAGACTCTGCCCAGAGCTGCAGACCCCTCCCTGTTCTCCTTTGGCCAAGCCATTTTCAATTACTCTGCATTTTGCTTTACTAGGCAGTCCTTCCCCTTTTAATCTGATTTCTGTTTATTTAACTTTCTTAACATCTCTTTGAAATTGTCCAGAAATTACCCACAGAGTGTTGGTGGAGTCTCTGGAGAGCAACCTCAGCATAACCTGCTGCTCTCTGATCCTGCTCCTCCGTGTGTGCATTCCAGAAATAACTCACAGGCTCCTTTTCCTCCCTCCTGAGTGCTGCTTCTCAGCAGATTGGGTGCAAAACGTGGCATCTTCATCATCAATAACAAACCTGAATGGAGTGAAGGGCCAGCTTCCCTTATTGTAATTCATTATCAGTCATTCCAGCTCAATCCTGGAAATTCCTGCAAAGAGTTTCTCTCCCTCAGTGATACTCTACAAGCCCTGTGTTTCTGGAACATCACCTTCAGACCATTTTACACTGCTGTGTGATACATTGCTTAGAAAGACACTAAAATTACACACAGGACATCAGCACCACTTTTTTCTGCCACTGAAATGAAGCTGTCTTTAGTGTGGAACACAGCAGAGCTTCAGCAGCACAGCTCAGGGCTGGGAAAAGGCATGGAATGACCCATGGGAATGACAGAAGGGGGCTAAGAACCAAAAGGATTATTGGTGAAATGAAAAGCTAAGCTGAACATCAGATTTTTGTTCTGGCATCGGAGCACGAATAGGGGAGGAGGGGGCTCTTGGGTCACTTGAGAAAATATTTCAATTCCTGCATTTTGCTGCTTTGCTCCTTCAGCTCCAAATCTCAAGGAATGGCTCTGACAAAATTTTTGCCATTGTGTGGGCAAGGAGAATCCCAGGATCCTTGAGGCTGGAAAAATCCTCCTGGCCCATGGAATCCCAGCTGAACCCAATGCCCACCCAATGTCCCCAAGCCAGAGCTCTGAGTGCCACCTCCAGGAATTCCTTGGACACCTCCAGGGATGGGGACTCCAAACATTCCTGTTCCAAACATGTGTGAGGTAAAGGGAATACTAATGGTTAATACTCTTATTTTCTTTTAAATTGCTTTGTTGTGAAAATTTATGTCTGACTTTGATTTCTGATGGAATTTTCACAAAACCATAGAATCATTAAGGCTGGAAAAGACCTCCAAGATCATCAAGTCCAGCTTTTGACTTTGTTGTGAGAATATGAACTTGACTTTCTGGGGGGTCAAATATTTCAAAAGCATTAACTGTGCCCTAGCTGGAGCCTGGCAGCTCTGCCCCAGGTTAACACACCAGGCCAGATTTATCCAGGGCACATAAATGAGCACATGCTCAGCAGTTCTGAACTAAAGAACACTGCAAAACTGCTTAGGCAGAAAAAGATGTTGTTTTGCATTTCAATCACAAAGACTTAAAGCAAAAAAATATTTTCTCATACTTCACGTATTTAAATATTGAGTTCAGTCAGTCCTGCTTATCCAACAGGAGCCATCAGGACATGATGGATAAATGTCCTGACATCCCAGGTGCTATCTTTAACCTCCTGACATACCCAATAGAGCACCTGGCCTTACCAAGCATTGTGTCATTGCAAAAGGACGTTTAAATACATATTTGTGCCACTGTCTCCATTTTTAACCTACCACCAGGGAGTTCCTTCTCATTCCTGTCACCATTCCCCACAGCAAGGCTCCTCTGCCCCAGCACTTTTTGGTTTAATCATGGAAATTCTGAGGAGAGCATTTTTACTAAAAGTTAGGAAGGGCTTGTTTGGACAAATGCAAAGGATTGTCTTCAAATTAAATACATCTATTTCTCTGACCCTTCCCTCTCTACAGCTGGCAAATCTTTTTTTCTTCTGGATGAAACCAGGCTGGGAGCACAAGCCTCATCAGGGATCTGGTCTTGGCTTACAAACAAAAAGGACTTTAGGAAAGGACACATGCTCTAACAAGAATTCCACTTTTACTTCAGTGCTTCCCATCCTCCTTCTCAAAGTATTAATAGAAAGTATTAGATCATACCAAATAATGTTCTTGGGGGCAGAGAATCAAAGTGCTGTGAGTGGATCACCTCCAGTGTCTTGTGTTCAGGTTTATTTTTTGATGCTGATGGGCTGATATGGGGTGAGCAGCAGCACAAGGCAGTGGCTGTGTGGTGTGTGAACCAACTGTGTGCTGCTGAGACCCAAAAAGGCTTTGCTGGAAGAGGAGGAATAAATTAATATTGGTATGATTGCTATGGAACCAAAATTCATTTTATGCTTCCCAATGTTCCTGGACAGAGAAGGAACTGTGGCCTCACCGATCAAATTGTTTGGATTTAGGCCCAAACTTTTTAGTATTGAAAGTGTCCCACCAGAATATTTCAAAGACTGAATCAAAAGACAATTCAAAGTGGGGGGATAAAATACAAACAAACCCAAACTTGAAGAAGAAACTTGAGAAGAACAAGGTGCCAAATATTGGTTAACCTTTTTTATGATAAGATTTTGATAAAACAAAGAGAAATCACATGAACAAATGCACCTCCGGTGGGTTGTAGAAACTTAAAAATTAGGTGAATATTTAAAGCCCCCAACACTGAGGGTATAAAATCAGAGTGTAAAAGATCCTGTACATCGACACAAGATATTCACTGGGGCCATTGGCACAAGGAGAGTCCTCCTCACATGACAGCATCTGTCACAGCCTCCTCTGTTCTTTACTTAGGGCCTTTGAGAATCCTAAAAGAAAATATTTATCCACAAGATGATGTCAAACAGCCCAATTTATCTCCCCTGCTAATGTTCCCAAGACAGCCCCAGAGTCTTAGACATGGGTGCTCATCAGAAAGAAGATACAGCAAAGGCAAATGTCCTCAAGAATTCAAAGTCAGCTCTGATTGTATTGATCAGATTTCCTAATGGGAGCTGGTGAGAGAAGCTGAGATACAGCCCCCAACTCCACATATTCAGGTTTTGGAATGATAATATCACTTACTATAAACTAAGAAAGGAAGCTGAGGTTCTTCTCAAATCTTTTCTTCTTCCTGCTATTTATAAGACAAATAAACTTTTATATTTTTAGAACAGAGGTACAAATACCAGCTGTAAATGCCGATGAAAAGCCCTGATTGGCATCCAGAGTTTCAGCTCTTAGCCTGCCTCCCACACTTGTCCCTTTGGATGAGCCTCTGCCTCACTACTCTGCAATAAAATAACACAGCTCTTGTAGCTTTTAAAGGCGAACTTTTTCATTATTTGCACCGTTTTGCAGGTCCTTGAGAGATTTGGAGTGAGAGATGTTACTGTACAAGCAGATTGCTCAGTTTAGGATTGTCCCATCCATGGAGTGTCAAGGTCAGGTTGGATGGGGCTGGGAGCAGACACTGCACTGATGGTGCTTTCCCCTCCCCAGGTGGGTTATTGCTGAGAAAATACAATTCCTTCTTGGAATATTCCTTCCTGGAAGAAATTCCTTCTTGGTGCTCCCCCTCAGGTGCCTGCACACGACTGTCCCAGCCCAACACCCCAAGTGCTGCTGCCATGACACATTCCAGTTTTCTACAAAATGTCAGCCTCAAATTTCATCTCAATTTTTCAAATCTACTGCTTTCCATATCCTGCTTCCTTCCCCCAGCTCCTCACTGAACTCCCTGCACTGAATTTAGAGCAGAGTTGTTGTTTCTTACAGACCCCAGTTGGAACAATTAATGGAGAAACCATAACCCAGGCCAGGTTCATTTCTATCCAGAGCACACCCAGATCGTTTCATAAACCTTCACATTTCTGCCAAAGCTGGGCAGCAGGAATTTCACCTGGGGTTGTACAGCCCTGCCAACTCTCCACATCACCCCAGCAGCCACCAACAAAGGGATGGATGAACACAGCCACAACACAGAGGCATTCCCTGCTGTAAATCCTCTGGAATGGAGGGACAGGGCTGAACACTGCCTTTGAAACCGTGAGCAGAGCATCACCTTCATCCTGCAATCACCTCTGCTGCTTTTCCTGTCCAACCATTGCCCTGATACTGCTGAAAGATGTTTGTGCCCTGTGTGAGAGCAGAGGGAA